CGATGATCTTGTTCAAGTTGCGAGTAACAACTTGGGTGACTTCGTGGAGTTTGTTGAAGTCGAATTCCCCACGCTTATAGTCCACGAATGAGGGGAGAGCTAGCGAGGCGAGGTTACATACCGCTACCTCATCAGGAGCAGTGTACTCGACGATCTCGGTGCAGAGGTTGGAGCTGCGAATGGTACCAAGATTTTTCTGGTTGCTCTTCCTGTTGCAAGCATCTTTGTAGAGCATGAAAGGGTTACCAGTCTCCGTCTGAGCCTCAAGGATGGCATACCAGAGTTTCTGGGCGCGAACAGTCTCCCGACCACGGTTGTCACGTTCGTAACGATGGTAGAGCTCCTCGAACTCATCACCATACACGTCGGCAAGACCGGGGGCTTCGTTGGGGCAGAATAGCGTCCACTCGCCATTCTCTTGAACGCGCTTCATGAAAAGGTCTGGGATCCATAGTGCGTAGAAAAGGTCACGGGCACGAACTTCCTCTTTGCCATGGTTCTTGCGTAGATCAAGGAAACCGAAGACATCAGCATGCCATGGCTCAAGGTAGATGGCGAAGGCGCCAGGGCGTTTGTTGCCACCTTGATCAACATAACGAGCTGTGTTGTTGTAGACACGAAGCATGGGAATGAGACCGTTCGATGTACCATTGGTGCCACCGATGTAGGAGCCCGTGGCACGGATACGGTGGACATTGAGACCAATACCGCCAGCGGTCTTGGAGATCAAGGCACAAGTCTTGAGTGTGTCGTAGATGCCATCAATGCTGTCCTCCTTCATGTCGATGAGAAAGCAGGACGACATCTGCGGATTTGGTGTGCCCGCATTGAAGAGGGTAGGCGAAGCGTGCGTGAAGTACTTTTGCGACATGTAATCGTAAGTCTCAATCGCCTTCTCGATGTTCTCTCCATGGATGCCGACAGCCACGCGCATCAACATGTGTTGTGGGCGCTCGGCAACCTTGCCGTTGATGCGGAGAAGGTATGAGCGCTCGAGCGTCTTGAAACCAAAGAACTGGTAGTTGAAGTCACGGTCGTAGACGATGGCCGAATTCAACTCCTCGGCGTGTGACTGTACAATCTTGTAGACAGCATCGGATATCATAGGCTGGCTCTTGCCGTTCTTGGGGTTGACATAATTGTACAGGTCTGCCACAACGGCCGAGAATTGCTTCTTGGTTTGTTTGTGGAGGTTGGACACGGCAATGCGTGCGGCGAGGATCGCGTAGTCGGGATGTGTAGTGGTCATGTATGCCGCTGTCTCGGCCGCCTGCAGTGGGTCAGTGCAAGCGAGGGATGAAGGCGCTGGGAACATACCAGGTCGTCGAGCTGGATGGTCGTTACACCCTGGTAGACGCCAGAGATGACCTTCATGGTGATGGCGGCCGGGTCAACATGGTCGGGGTCGAGGCCGTAACACAGCCTTGACACTCGTGCGGTGATTTTATCGAACTGCACGCGTTCCTTGCGTCCATCTAGTGTGGGTGCGCGTCAGTCTGGTGTCGGCATGCAGCAGCGAACAGGGGTGCGGGCAGCAGTAGTGCAAGAAGGACGCAGGACGAGAGGGCTTACCGCGCTTGAAGACAAACATGTTGAACGTGCAAAGAGGGGAGTGTGTGGGTGCAGTGGTGGGTGAGGGATGGGTGCGGATCGTGGAGGAGAGGGGTGGGCGGCACTTAAATGGAAGACGCGTCAAAACAAATGCACGGTTTCGCGTCGCGTCGCTAGCTTGGCCATTTGTAAGGCGGGCTAAAGTGGTTGCAGCTTACAGGGATCACATCGAATCCCTCTGTGCCGGGAGAATATCGGCGCCCCGACTTTTCACGACGCAACTGCATCACGCCCCCAGGCACCACCCAACCCACGACCCCAGCACCAATTGCCCAGTATGGCGGGCGGTCACATGAAGTACCGCCATCTGAGCCGCTCATCGGCGCATCGACAGGCGCTGCTGCGGAATCTCGTCACATCGCTATTCAAGCATGAGTCGATAGCAACCACATGGCACAAAGCGAAGGAGGCACAGCGGCTGGCCGACCAGCTTGTGACACTGGGCAAGAAGAACACAGAGGCGACGCGGCGGAGGGCGCGCCAGATCTTCTATGTATGGTACCATATGGTCGCTACCGACGATATGCTGATGGCGTCTAGGAACCAGACGAAATGGTACCGAAGCTCTTCGGACCCATCCGCGAGCGCTATGCAACGAGACCTGGTGGATATACGCGCTTGCTGCGCATTGAGCCTCTGAAAGAAGACCAGGCAGAGTCGGCCATCCTCGAGTTGGTCGATGGTCCGCGGGACCTGCGCTTCGCCATGACCGCTAAAACACTGGCGCGGATACCAGAAAATGCGCAGTTCAACGAGAAGACGGCAGAGAACGTCAAGAAGGTTACGCAATTCCGAAAGGCAGGCATGGACTCGTTGCGGGACATGGTCAGCCAGCTGCGACTGCATAAGGATATGGACAACCGGATACTTCCACCACCCAGGAAGGTGTATCCGGAGCCGAAGATGAAGAGAGAGATGCACTACTTCGAGGAGACGGACTTGTACCGCATGCCAAACCCAGTCTCTAGAGTAGAGACTACGGGCCGATCCAAGACGCAAGAAGTGCAGTCCGAGGTGCCTCATGATGGTCACAAGCGCCCGCAACCAAGACGAACAAAGACCGTATGATTGGGTTCGAGACCCGTGGTCAAGATCTCAAGATATGTGACTCTCGTACTTGCAGACAAGGACAAGCCTGCGCGAGGTACGTTCTATGAGTCGTGCGTTACCCGAACCAAGTCTACCGCGAAGGTCCCGTTGCACTGAAAAGCTGCCTCAGGCATCGTATCAGGGTGTGCCTGATCAAAAAATTCATGGCATCCACTGCAAGCTCGCACATAGGTTCTTCCGTAGCTTCAGAGAGCTTTCCAGGAAGACTGAAAGTAGCGAGAACCTCCAGATCTGTTTTGGCTTCCATAATATAGCTAAGCCAATTTTGAGAAGATTAAGCTAAGCAAACGTGAATGATTGCATGACCTGTAGTTCATCCGCCTTTTGTCTGACTATCCCATACCGCTTCGAACATTGCTGCGCTGGTGTTGCTTCTTCGGCTTCCGCAGCTGGTATACATTTCACGTGATGATCGCCCGCGGCTCGGCTGGGGTACGTAGCGCTAAGCCGCATATTGACAGGTCAAGCTTCCCCCACATTTGACCGCCGTGACGTACCTGAAAATCAGCGCGGCGAAGTGCCTGGAGCAGAGGCGCCATTTTCTACTGTAATTTCATCATGTGCGCAATCGCTAGTGCACAGGCCAGACTGGAGTCAAGCCAAGCGGGTCTGCCATGCCGCATTGAGACGGCTGAAGCTGGTTTGCGTGCGCGCGATCGTGAAATCGATGGTTGGCGTTGACGACGAGTGACGTCAGGTCAGGTGCAGACCGCTATGCAACCAGCGGGTACATAAGCATCCACATTCCTTGTCTCCTGCCATCATCACCCACTCGCCATACCTCGAGACAACAAAAAACACAACCCTCCTCCATCCCAAAAATCATACCTCTTACCACAATGGCCTCCCTACACTGTAAGCATACGCCTTCACTCTGCATAACCGATCCGATTCGCAGCATTGCCTTGGTCGCGGCCTCGTAATGCGTCGCCATGAAGAGATGGTGCAGCTCGTGGAAGAGTCGACAGAACTAACTCGATGTACTAGACCTTCCCCCGGTCAAGCCCTCTGCCATTGCTCTCGGCACGGCATTCAACCACGCTGTATCTCTCGCTGTCCTCGGACCCGTCTTCGGTGACGCCTACCGTCGCGCGCAGCAGGCCAACTCCAAGGAGGAGTACTTCCACAGCAAGGAGGCTGCCACCGCCGCCGCTTCGTGGGGTAGCTCCATCGTCGGCTCTGCTCTCCAGACATATGGCGTTGGTGCTCTGATCAACGCTACTGGCACCCTTACCTACAAGGGCGCTGCTTACCTCGGCTCTTTGATTTTCTTCGCCTCCGCTGCTCCTTCGGTATGTAGTTTGCATTGTTCCTCCCTGCGTATGCACAATGCTAACCTTTCCAGATCGTCTCCCAGGTCGTCACTGAGAAGCGCCCACTTGACACCATCGCCATCGGTGCTGTCGCTCGTGTCCTTGAGACCGTCGGCCTCAGCTTGTTCCTCACCTACTGGGGCACCCGCACCAACCCCTTCGATTAAGCATCTCGTTTGGGAAAAGCTGTGAAGGAGTTTGGGGATTCTCGTCTTGGTGGTTAAGATTGAGCGAATCAATCCATCGCGATGATACAGATGATATAAGATGTGAAGAGCTGCCGTTGGTGGCATACCTCGATTATGATATGTAACATTACCTCAATGAAAGGGTTTAATTTCAAATGATTGCTTTTGCCCGTGTCGTCGAGGAGCGCGATGTTTGGAGGAGCTAACTCACAAACTGACCATGATTCTCGCGGAGTGCGGCACAACAAAAGCCCATTGACGCTGTATCATACTTGTCGTGATCCAGGAAAGGAGGTTGTCAGCACACACGCCATCCTCCAATGCATAGAATGCTTCACAGCTCTAACGGCCTTTGGCGGGGCTTGGAGAGCTGAAAATATTGGAGCTTTTCCATACCATCACACATTGACTCTCAAAGAGGCCCTGAGTTTGAAGGCCACTGTGAGATTGGGTTTCTTAACTACATTATAAAGCTTGTTGGCCTTGAATTCATTGGCGGTCCTGATGTTGCAATGCCCGGGATGTTCTTGTTGTCGCCTGTCCAAGCTCTACGAGGAAGCAGCGAAGTCCCTGTTCATGAATATGCTACGTCACGATAACGTAGCCGGACGTGCCAGACTTGTGCCACTCGTTCTAGATCCATCAAGGTTTATAATTGTGGGTATGTGGCTCCTACCTGTCGACATCTCTTGCCGCGTGTGCTAAGCTGGGTATCTAGGTAACAAAATAAGAAGCCACACACGACCCCCGGTATCGCACTGCAGCAGCAAAAAAACAACTCCCCCGGAAAGGCTCGAACTTTCAACCTCCTGATGGAGCTACCATTGCATGGATAACAGTCAGACGCGCTAGCCAATTGCGCCACGGAGGATATTGAGAAGACTCAAGATTGGCGCAAGATGCGCCGCGGCTTTTGGTCGAGATGGTCAGTCTGAACATTAGCTTGTCCATAATCTCATTGCACAGTAAAAGACTGGACTGAGTTTCTATGCTCTGGTCTGCATGGTTGTTGGGCGGCTAATGAAAGATTTGCAGCGGTACGAAACTAACGTTATGGTGGGGCAGATCATCCCGGATAAGGTGCGCATAATATGGCCAGCTGGCCTCTTCATGCTGGCAACACCACGGCCAGAGGCTACGTGGGATCGAAAATGCCTTGGCCGGCAACCAATGTTGCATATGTCCGAACAAGGTCTGCCGGATCTAAAGGCACAACTGTCTGGCTCGGAGTTCTCACCACCACTGAAATATATACTCTGCAAAGCAGCTAGCACCAGGAGAGCTGATAGAGAATAGTGTCAGAATCACTGTGAATCGTCGTCGTACAGCGGGGATGCAAAGCTGGTCAAAAGTTTATGCCTTCCGTCTCATTCTTAATTGAACGTGAATCGGGGAGGGGTGACACGGAGTTAAGTCGGATCTGCCAGCACCGATTAGTTGACAGCCCCAGCAATATAGGTACAACCGTGTAACTTCTCCTTAATTGCGTGCGGTCGTCTAAGTGCTATACTCATCTACCTCGAGCACCAACACCCGAACCCGTGGCGTGATGAAGATGGACCCCGCGTCGACAAGACATGCTTCCGAACAAACTCTGCGCTTGCGTTAGCAGGCTCGCTTCGACGACGGCATGCTTCTTGAGGAAACGCTGCCAGTCTCTGCGAGTCGACGAGGGTTTGGCTTTTACACCTGACCACTACACCGAATGGTGAGGTTCTAGATTTTCCTAAAGGTGCATGGGGAAGTTGGCAAAGTCAAAATTCTGAGCCAAAGGCTCGCAAACACCAATGCCACTGCAGAGATCAACCTGCGACGTTGTGCAGAGCGCTTCGATTGCGAGGTTAATCTTCAAGTCTGATGGCCGCAGAGCACAGAAAACCAGACGAAGCCATTGCTCGAGAATGTTCAGAAAAGGTCCAGTCTCCAGTGAATCATCCTCGACGGGAAGTAAGACGTGCGCAGCTTCGGCCTTGGACCAGAGGAAATAAAGAAAGATTTTTGAGTAATTCTGGGAGGAATGGTGGCTTGAAATCCTCTTGCTAACATTACTCGACTGGCTAACATAAAACCACAATTCGCCATCAATAACAACAACGATGACATAGATGCCACCGTAGTCGGGGAAAGCCAATTGCGATTTATGATCCAGCCTGTCTCCAAGGTCAGTCATTGAATCACGGCGACAGCCAAGAAGGAGGAATCGAGTGGTAGGTGAAGAGGGACAGCTCATTGCAGTGAGGGTGAAGTCATACGCATTGAGCTCACGCAGCTTTCCAGCATCCCAATACTCGAGTACCCATCCCTTCAGCTTGTCCTTGCATTTGTCGATGGTCGCCGTCGAATCGCGAAGCTCCTCTTCATAGTACTTGTTGACAGCTTCCTGGCGGCAGCTTTCCGGAAGCACTACTCTGACTAGGTGCTCTAGTATAGCGTGGGGGTGCGTTGGGCCTGGGCTTGGGCTAGTAGCTCTACGCTTCGCGTCTGGAAGTGCAATCTCGAGGTCAGCATCACCATAGGTTCGCTTGCTGGACGGAGACATAACGGGCGTAACGAAGCGATATGGTGGCGAGTATTGAGCGAGAGAGGAGTTCAGGAATAAACGTCACAGCAATAGAAAGTCTACAGTTTGGCCTGAAGGCGAGCCAATCCACCTAGCCAGTTCACCGTTCCTTTCATTGACAGGGGTGCTTTGGCCGCACACTCCTGTCGTGCGGGAAGTGCCGATCGCTCGGATTCCTCTCAGAAAGCAGTCGCGCTTGAGTACTCAGTGCGTCAAATGGAAATAGAAGGAGTATATACATATGTTGGAGTTTGCTGTGAGCAATTTGTCAATTTATTAGATGGCCTCAAAAACTACTTTGGCATCAAGCTGTGAATACATGGAACATGCCCTAGACCTTACAACTGAAGCAGATAGCAGACCATGAGGAAGCTCGGCCTTCTTCACTTGTTCAGGGTCTTTGCACGGACCACCGTCGCCATCCTCCACCGCCTTGGGAGTCAGTGGCAGAAAGAGAAGTGAAGTTTGTACTTCACGTGAAGCCTAATTTGGCAACGGTGACTTTTGCCCATTGTGCACCAGCTGTCGTCGAGCGAAATAAGTAGACGTTCTGTCGAAGCGGTCTCGATATATAACGCGTGTACTAGAAACACAATGAAGAGCAACACAACTGCGCTGCTAGAAATGGCAAAGCTTAGGCTGAAGCCTATACTACTGCACCGCACACCAGGAGATTCATTTACCCTCACAGCTTCTTCTCTGATTTATGATACGATTCAAACAGAATTTAGTCATATTCTGACGACAGCACGGTTGCATTACTAATATGATATACTTGAAGGCGACTTGGAGCTGTTGAACGGTTCTGCTAACAGAATTTACAGAAAACGTTCAAAGAAGAGAAGAAGGCCAGGGCCAAGATCGAGGCCGAGAAGAAGCGTAAGCGAGAAGAAGAGGAGTGTGAGCAGGAATTTGCCCCTAGCTCATACGTTCAATTACTAATGTGAATAATTGTAGTTTTCTGACTCTGTGCTTATAGAAAAAAGTCGCGCACAGCCATGTGCAATGAGCGCCGCCCTAAAAAGGAGAAGGAAGAGAAGATGACCGCTGCAGAACGCCTTGAAAGGCGACTCGAGCTGAACAGGAAGAGGAGAAGAAGCCCACGGCCAATGTTGTTGAATTGGCCTTTAGGCCATATGTTCCCCAAACAAAATGGGGGCAAAGTGGGACGATAAGGTGAAAGCTGTTGTTTGTTAGTTAATTATGTACAGCGTCTTCTACTATCGCCGAACCTGTTGCTTGTTATAGAAAGAACAAATCTTGGGTCAAGGCACGTCGTCACAGAAATCTACGATCCCACCCTATCGGTGGGATTGGTGAAGGGGTGATCGACTTGTGCGGAGCTCATCATCATCGTTGAGGAACATACAATCATAGAATCTAATGTGCCATATATACGCGTCATGTCCTCGAGGGACTATTCGATCTATCAATGTGCTCTTCACCGCGGCCATCCATTTGCGCCAACATCAATCCTCTTTCCTCGTCCTCATCGCCCCTCTCCCTCAAGGAGGCCTTGCTTGGGTCCTCTTTGTGCATAGCGACGTATATTGCAGAGCCAAGAATCAACGACGAGCCGACGATCGACAGCGCCCCCGGTGTCGTACCCCACACTACTTTATCGAATGTAAGAGCGAAAAGCATTTGCATGTACACCATGTTTGTTGCTCGTGACGATTTTTCGTATTGCAGTCCAGCGGCGAGAAGGAATTGCTGGAAGGCGTTAGAGTGCACAGGTTTGGGTAGTGAGGTGTTCCATACCATAACGAAACCACAAATACCAAGAAAGATCAGGTAACACCAGTCTTTGAAGTACCGCGGAAGCAAGAAGCCGACACCAGGCATAGTGAACATGGCTACAATACTGACAATGGTACACCATGATGCAAAATAGTTGACTGATATCAGCGGATGTGCGCGCCTGCCGATCCACCGGATCGTTGTGTATGCACCAGCTGCCCCTAGAACTCCGAGCATTGCGATCCCTACTGCTGTTGCTCGCTGGGTTGGTGTCACGGCATCGTAGTCAGCCGCAAGTCGATCAGGAGACACCGTGGTCTGATTTGAGAGGACAAAGTCTCCGTCGCCGCTCGCAGCAGGGACTGTATCGCTGGACCGTGAAAATACTGCGAAGGGCCTCGCAATGATGACGACACCGAACAGGGAGACGTAGGCTGCAATCTGTTCCATACGAGTGAAAGGCTCATTGATGAGATAACTGCAGGCCCAGCATGCGAGGCTGGGTGCTAGGAATGTGATTACTGTTGCATCGGCGAGAGGAAGGTATAACAGCGAGTCTGCGAATATCAGATGCGCACACGGAACGAGAAGGGTGATGGGAAGTACTAGAGTCTCAGCATGGCAGATCACGTAGCGATCTGTGATTGCATTCCAATGGTGCCCCAGAAAGCATGCCGGAAGTGCGACTTTGACCAAGGAGTTACTGTTCCCATCACCATGTTGGAGCACTTACAGTACATGCCAAAAACCCCGAAGAAACCGGACAAGCCACGGGCAACTAGTAGCGGTCTAACCTCGCGGAGACCAAATGGGAAATGCTCAATTTTTTTACGCCACATGTAGAGTGATGCGCAGACTACAGTAATGGACATCCTGGCAAAGAGGATTTGGAAAGGATGATAGCCTTTGCCTGGAGACTGTTAGCCCTCTGTGTGCCAGTGGCAGGTTCACAAAGCCATCTAATACCATCGTTCCCTTCCATTTCGAGCATGCGTGTGGTCACATTCATCAGGGTGCCAAACAGCTGTGATATCAAGACAAGGGCAAGACCTTTGTTTGCAACCCAGAAAGATTGCAACCTGGCCAGCGCAGTTGACGGGGGTACCGGTGAATGGGAAGCTCGTCTCCGGCCATATTGGGTCAGGTGTTCGGGAAAGCGACCCAGACGATCATGGTCCGCATCGTCTGTGGAGACGAAGGAGGGATTTGGAGAGGAGACACGGATTGCCCCGCGGTCGAGACGAGGCGGGAGCTCGGGCTTATCTCCGGGGTCAAGGGTTGACGTTGGATATTCCTGTTCGCTGGGGTGGTAGAAATGCTGTGCACCCTCTTGCACAGTCTTTGCAAGGACTGGCTGGGTCATAACGCTTCAGGGAATGGTCCTGGAGAGGATGATGACGAGATGTTAAGGATGAGTCCTAGGGAAGTTGTACGGCGGTAGGCTGAGAAGCTACTGGGGCCAGGACGACGCGCTATTCGAGAATCAGGAAGGCGCGAACTCATAGCCAGCGAGTAAGGCTTCCGCAAGACGACTCCAGGCCCAACATCATCATACTGACGCTGCCCGTACA